TGAGGAGCTCCTTGAAGGCTGGGACACTTCTCCTCATCTCCAAGTGCCCAATCCCTGGGCACAGTAGAGAGAGGCTCACTGCTATTTCTTAAACAGATAGATGGTGTGCTGACACCCCTTGAAATTCCAGCTATGGTTTAAGGGTTGTTTCTTAACTAATTTCACCCCCTCAACAGCTCTGTGAGAAAGGTACTATTCACCTCCTCACTTCACAGATGAGGAAACCGAGGCAAAGAAAAGAACCCTGTCCAAGTTAGCAAGGGAGGGAGCAGGCTTTGAGCTCCGACAACCTGCACAATCCCTCGGCTTCCAGCCATCGGATTCCATGACTCTTGTGGACAGGGTGGTCTGAGCTCTCTCAGGACAAAGATGAGACAACAGCAGAAGGGGTGACAGAGTGACTCACGCACCCTGTCACCTGGACACAGCTGTGAGAATCCACGGGGGAAAGCAGACCTTCTTTCAAAAATGAATTCCCTGGGCTGGGGCTGGGGCTCAGCGCTAGAGCACTCGCCTAGCACGGGCAAGGCCCTGGGTTCGATCCTCAGCACCACGTAAAATAATAAATAAAATAAAGGTGTTGTGACCAACTACAGCTAAAAAAGATATTTTAAAAATAATGAAGCCCCTGATGCCAGGGCAGTGGGGTGGGAAAGGAGTGGGGCGTCACAAAACACGACAGGCCATGTGTCCACAGGTGTCGAAACTGGGTGATCGATACGTGGGGTCCGCACACCATCCTCCCTTCTCTTGAATGCATATGAGCTTTTCCCTAATGAAAAGTTTAAGTTTTTAAAATGCGACAAAATGGAGCCCAGAAATACCATAAAACGCAGGCTGTCTTCTCTGTTTTCTTTCCAGTTCCTTCCTCCCCCTCAGGTCTGTCTCTTGGTCTCCCGGGTTGTTGGGTGACTCTCAGTCCGTCGCTCTGTTTCTTGGTTTGTCCCTGTGGGTGTCATTTTCTGTGACTCTGGGAATCAGGGAGAAAATGGCAGTGCCCCCCACACCCCCTGTCTTTATCCCCCATCTTCTCCCAGGGCCCCTCCTTTTCCTCTCCCTGTGTCCAGATCTCTGTTCTCTTCTCCTTGCTTTGACCTCGTCACCCATGTTAAGTTAACTGCACATCGAGGCACGGTTGGCTCCCAGTTGGTGCCCCTCCTCTGGACTACACGCATGGGGTATTTTCATGCATGTTTAAAAAGCTCAGATAGATGGGCGCAGTGGCCCATGCCTGTAATCCCAGCAGCTTGGGAGGCCGAGGCAGGAGTATCACGAGTTCAAAGTCAGCCTCAGCAAAAGTGAGGCACTAAGCAACTCAGTGAGACCCTGCCTCTAAATAAAATACAAAATAGGGCTGGGACTCAGTGGTCAAGTGCCCCTGAGTTCAATCCCCACCCCCAAAAAAGGCTCATTTAATGCTGCCATGAAAGAAAATATTGGTGCTTCAATTCACAATAGCTAGACTGTGGAACCAACTTAGATGCCCTTCAATAGATGAATGGATTTAAAAAATGTGGCATTTATAAAAAAAAATGTGGCTGGAGTATTACTCAGCACTAAAAAATGACAAAATCATGGAATTTGCAGGGAAATGGATGGCATTAGAGCAGATTATGCTAAGTGAAGCTAGCCAATCCCTAAAAAACAAATGCCAAATGTCTTCTTTGATATAAGGAGAGCAACTAAAAACAGAGCAGGGAGGAAGAGCATGAGAAAAAGATTAACATTATTAAACAGGGACGAGAGGTGGGAGGGAAAGGGAGAGAGAAGGGAAATTGCATGGAAATGGAAGGAGACCCTCATTGTTATACAAAATTACATATAATAGGATGTGAGGGGAAAGGAAAAAAAATCAAGGGAGAGAAATGAATTACAGTAGATGGGGTAGAGAGAGAAGATGGGAGGGGAGGGGAG